TTGATCTGAGAATCAATTCTCAAATCAAAAACAAAAACCCCCCTAAATAAATAATTACGTTAAATTAGCGATAATGTTAAATTCATCAAAAAATTTAAAAATATATAGTACAATTAATAGAAACACCACAAATAAGAAGATATTAAATCATGTCATTAAAATTTAGTGCAATGCATTTCGAATCCCAATATTATGAAATTACGAAGTCAAAATAGTGTTGCAATTTAATTCTCGAAATTTGTATATTCCAATGTTTTAAAACTCCACCCGAACATCGACCCGGAAAAGAGAAATGGTCAAAAGGTTCAACCGCGGTCAAATCGAAGGTAATAAATAAATATTTATAAACATTTAAATTTTATTTTCACAACAATATAAAATTAAATTTATACACCATCAATTCAAAATAAATACAAATATGTCAAATGTATGTTGTTTAATATAAATTTTAATAGTTTTAATTTATTAGATCACTTAAAAACTCATTTCAATTTTACTAAATAATTTGTAAGACAAAAAAAAAAAATGTTTAGCAATCTATAGAAAATGAGTAATTTAATTTTGTAGTCGTGCACCATTAGACCATAAATAATATTGAAAAGGTGTGTTTTATTGAAATTTGTCAATCTCACATTGAAAGTGTATTAAAAGTGTGTTTTATTGCATTTTGTTAATCCCACGTTGGAAGTTTATCAATTATGGGACACAAGAAATGATTACAAAAGAGCTCCATAGGTATAAAAGTGGGTAAATGGGTTCCAATCTCTAAGGCAACATTTTTATTATATATTGATTTATTTTAAAGTTTTGGAAACCCGTTCCAAAAATCGTGACCGATTTTCCGGTTACTTAACATGTTATTAATTAATCGATTATTTTAGTATAATTCGACCGAATTTTGGTTTGATTACCAGTTGAACAGTTCGGTCCAGTCCAATTTATAAGCATTGATATATTTATTCCACAAATGATCAATTAATGCATTTCGAAGTGTAATATGAGCCTATTTATTCTTGATTTTTTTGTTAATTTTAAATAATCGTGTTTGTTACTCTTCCATTTTTTTAATTCTTAATTTAATTAATTCATTATCTGTTATCGATTACATTATTAAAATTTATTAAAAATGATGATGATGATGATGATCATAATAATAATAATAATAATAATTTATTGTATTAAAAAATGTATAGTAAAAATGGACACGAATACTCTTAACAAATTTTTTTTTT